TTCAAAAGAGAGGTCTTTCTCATGCACACATATTACTTTTCTTGGAGTCGTCAGGAAAAAACCCATCAACAGATCGTATTGACAGAATCATCACAACCGAGATTTCAAATCAAAGTATCGATCCAGATGGGTTTAACGCAGTAGCCAAATTCATGATTCATGGGCCATGCGGAGATCTCTATGCATCATCCTCGTGTATGTTACAGAGAAAATGCTCTAAGCATTTTCCCAAAAACTTTGTCTCGCACACAATAATTGATCAAGATGGATTTCCAATATACAGAAGAAGAGATACATGAGCTTTTGTGGAGAAGAAAACACATAAGTTGGACAATCGATATGTCGTACCTCGTAACAGAGATCTGATTGTTAAATTCGATGCTCATATCAATGTTCAGCTTTGTAATCATTCGAGAGCCGTGAAGTACCTATTCAAGTACATACATAAGGGTTCTGATAGAGCTACTGCTACAGTTTATTCAGCAAACCTGGATGACGACCATGATGAAATAAAGATATATTTAGATTGCAGATACATTTCGGCTACTAAAGCATGTTGGTTTATTTTCCAGTACGATATTCATTTCAGATATTCAGCAGTGGAGCGGTTACCATTCCATCTTCCAGATGAACAACCGGTTGTTTTTAACGAAAATGATAACCCGCAGTCGGTAGTGGTCAAGCCTGGAGTAAGTAGAACAAAGTTCAAAGATTGGCTCGAAACCAACAAAAGAAATCCTAATGCCAGAGAACTTAGTTAGTCAACATTCCCAAAACACTAGGTCTGGAATGCAAGGGATAAAAATATGGACAAGACGTAAAAAGGGCATATCAATTGACAGAATATACTTCACTCATCCATCATCTGGAGAAAGGTTTTACAATCGCATGCTTTTAAACTTTGTAAAAGGATGCACTTCGTGCGAACACATTCTAATAGTGAATGGCGTCACATATCCTTCTTTCAAGGGAGCTTACTATGCTCTTGGATTGTTAGATGATGATGATGATGAATGGGTTGATTGCTTAACAGAGGCAGCAAATTGGGCAACTGGTCACGAGTTGCGACATTTATTTGTCACAGTTCTTGCAAATTGCCAAGTCTCAAATGCACCAAATCTTTGGAAAAGAAATTACGCAACATTGTCCGAAGATATAACAACACTACAACGTAAAAAAAATACAAAGCACACAGCATGCAACTAACGGATGATCAAATTGAAGCTCACATATTGTTCGAGATCGAGGCAATCATGTTGAAAATGGGAAAAAGTTTAAAAGACATAGATGGAATGCCACTCCCAAATACCGAACTTTTACGAGAATTTCATAACATATTGGTCAATGAAGAGCTTGACTATTGTAACCAGGATTTGAAGGTTGCTCATGACATCGCATTTTCCAGTGTCAATACTTGCTAGAAAAGAGCTTATGATGCCATTCTTGCGTCAATGTACAATGATCAAGGTGACTTGATTTTCATTAACGGTCGTGGAGGAACGGGGAAAACTTTTATTTGGAATACAGTCGCATCAAGACTTAGATCAGAAGGAAAGATAATATTATCGGTTGCTACTTCAGGCATTCCAGCTTTGTTACTACCAAATGGAAGAACGACTCATTCAAAGATTCTGAATCTCATTGAATTTAACTGCAAAGTCAACTTGCAAAATTCGTCACAGCACACATATAGCGGAGTTAATTCAACAAACGACATTGATTATTTGGGATGAAGCCCATATGGCACATAAACAGTCCTTTGAAGCATTGGATAAAAGTTTGCGTGACATAATGAGTTATCGTTATGAAAATAGTAAAGACAAACCATTTGGTGGACTCACAGTTGCTTGTGGTGGTGACTTTCGGCAAATTTTGCTAGTAATACCTAGGGGAAATCGAGCCGACATTGTGAATGCCGCACTAAAATCATCTTATTTGTGGCCTTTATTCAAAGCATACGAGCTCAATGAGAATATGCGTTTGCAATGCAACACTTTGTCACCAACATATATAATAAATATTAATGTGTTTGACTCATGGATGTTACAAATTAGAAATGGCACTGCCTACAATGATGTAACAAATGAATTGCTAAAGTTGCCCGTTGGCATCTTCCCAGAAACAGTTGGCAACCCAATTGAATCAGTCGTTGAAATGATATATCCTTCTCTCTTGGAATACTGTAATAGTCCTTCATATATAATTGAAAGGGCAATTCTCACACCAAAAAATGATATGGTCCAAGAATTGAACATATTTATCATGGACATGCTTCTAGGAGAAGGAAAAACATATATAAGTTCAGACATGGTTTGCAAAGGAAGTGTCCAAACAAATGATGAAGACCTCATTTATCCAACTGAATTCTTAAATAGTTTGCAATTCAATGGCTTACCAAATCACGAGATTCAACTAAAGGTAGGAGCCCTGATTATGTTATTACGCAACATCAATCAAACAGAAGGATTGTGCAATGGAACACGATTTATCGTCACATTACTTGGAACATGGTCTGTTAGAGGTGACATTATTTCAGGAACTAATAAAGGAAAAAGTGTCACTATTCCAAGAATTACAATGTCGCCTAACGAATCAAAATGGCCATTCAAGCTTAATCGACGTCAAATACGTTGGTCCCATGCTTTGCTATGACAATTAATAAAAGCCAGGGACAATCTTTAAGTCGTGTTGGCATATACCTCCCGAAACAGGTACACTCCTCTATTTTCTTATATTAGCATATTTAAATATGTATTTATATTCACATATAATTGCATAATATTCCAATTGATAGGTTTTCACACATGGACAACTATATGTGGCTGTTTCACGAGTGACATCGCATGAAGGATTAACCTGATGAAGAAATGGAACACCGTACACTCATAAAAAATATCGTCTACCATGAAGTGTTCAATAACATTCATCCATCCACGGTGTAGATAAGGTAATATTTTACTAAGTTTATATATTCATATTCTTTAAAATCCAACATCTATTATTTCTTCCCATATTTATTATGATTCTCTCCAACGCTTATAATGGTTAATGCAATTCTAATTCAAATCGTATACAAGAAAATCTTCATAAAAAGCTTCATCAAGGATTAGAATATATTGAAGATAGAGATGGATGATAAACGATTGAGTAAGCATAGAAGAAGAGGCTTCGAATATTGACCAAGTTGAACCATATGCATAGGGATCTATATAGGTTATTTTGGTTTATCTTATCTGTTTGTTTATATATTAGAATGATTTTATTTTAGTTATTGTTTTCTGGTATGAAAGATGTTTTGTACTTACAATACCGCGCATCGCACGATTCTCATATTAGTAATCTAAGACGGCAATAAAATTGGCTACAGTTAATGAATCAATATAAATAAAAATTAATATAATTAAATATTATTAACCAATTACCTAATCTTTGCTTAAAAACAAATGAAATAAAATAAAATCCTAAAAACCGATTGAAGGTGAGGATCAATCCTCATCCTCCATCTTATTTGATTTAATAACTTACATTAAATATAGTTTTTAATTAAAATTATTAATTAAGACGAATAAGGTTTAAAAAGAAGTTAATTTAAATCCACACTTATTTTTTTAACTTTTTATTTTTTCAATTAAAATTTATAACCCTATAAAGTTTAAAATAAATTATTTTAAAAACTATTAATATTTTAATCAAATAATTTACATTAAAAATGAGAATTTCATGCTCTTTAATATGAAAATCTATATCGATATATGGTTTTTTTTCTCTTGTTTTAACTGTTATTTACATGAAATGGTATATATGTGTTATATTTATTATGAATATTTATGTACGTTCAAGTATGTACAACTCGATACCGTAAGTCCGTAACTCGGGATCACCTTTTTCAACATTTTTTTCATCGTCATAAGACATTGTGTTCTTCATCACCATAAGCCAACACCATCAAGACTGATCGAGAACCACTCGAGACCGATCGAGAACCCATCGAGACTGATTGAGAAAGTTCGAGAATCTATTCATTGACTTGGTATGTGTTTATGTGTGTTAAACCATAACCTATCACCTTCATTTTCCATGGAGAACCTATGTATTGATTTATTATTTGTTTATGTGTAAAAACATAGGCTACCACTTTCATCTTTTATCGAGACGGATCAAGAACTCGTCGAGACTAATCAAGAACACTTCGAGATCGGTTGACAACCCATTGGGACCGATCAACACTAATTAAGAACCCATCCATTGACTTGGTGGACGGTTGTATGTTAAAATCATAACATAATCCTTTGTTTTTTATCAAGACCGATTGAGAACCTATTGATTAATTTTGTGTGTGTTTGTTTGTGTAAAAACATAACCTACCACTTTTAACTTTTATCGAGATGGATCTTGAAATTTATTGAGATGAATCGAGAACTCATCTAGATCAATCGAGAACCCAATAAAGAAAAAAAAAGAAAAACTAAAGTATATAAAGTTGAAACTATAGTATATTCATGATAAATATTATGGTGAAATTTAATATTCATGATAAATATCATACTAATATAAATATAGAAATTATTGTACACACATGATCATATATAAATATTTATGATGAATAGTATATATATTCATTATGAATGTTATAGTGAAAATGTATATTTATGGCATCTCCTTAGAAACTGAAATATAACGGGTTATAATCAACGTTTGAGCCATCATATAGTGTGATGCCATCTCCTTAGAAACTGAAATATAAACCGGTTATAATCAATCCCTCTTTGACCGACCAATTTGTAACCGGTCCCGTCCACATCACCTTAACCAGTTTTCTAGCCTTCATGCACAGCTCTAGCTCTTCGCTCTTGAGAAGCGTTTGGTGCACAAATTAGATAAAACATGAATGGACAAGATTGGACTGGTCTAATCGTGTCTCATTTGAACACAAACAAAAGAGGCTTTACTTGAACAAAGAGAATAGCATATAATCTGAACTTATGATTACAAGTAGAAAATGCAAAAAAAAGGTCTGTATTGATGATATAAGCTGCCAACCCCACATGCTCCAAAACTTCAACAGCAAAAAACATCCATTTTGCTTCATACAAATCCAAAAAAAATAGACATTTTTCATTCTACATTCTCTCAATCTTCACCTCTATTTCAAAGTTCACCAAAACACAACAGATAATTTAGGGCCAAAATCCCATCTCCCTTGTAGTCCCATGCTCCCATATCATGTCTTTACTCTTTTTGTTTCTTGTGATATGCGTTGCAAAAACCTAATAATTCGTACCTGAAAGAGGTTGTCAACTTGATTAGCATGCCAATTGAAACTGTTAACGACTTCAACGAAGCCCTCATTGTGAGTTATCTAACGCACAGCGAATTCAACATTTCTGCCTTCTGGAAAGAAGGAATTAACCAAAGGGACATATGGAGATGCGATGAAAGGACTATTAAGCAGTCTCTATAAACACTAAAAGATCATTGCTACACTGAATAACTCTAAGCACATACAACCAACCCAAATGAGCCCATAAATCCCACTTGGAGGTAGTATGTATGCAGAATTGTCTGCCACCCCAAAGAGTAAACCGTCCGTTTCCGTGAAAAACTCTAGCTACATTGAATAACTCTAAGCAAATATATCAAGTATATTGTAGCATGTATATGGTTTACAAGTACCGGCACTTGTCACTTCCTCTACCAGGGGCTTGACACGCGCCGTGTAAGAATACATAGACTAAATCACTAAACTATGGGTTAACAATGCATAAATTACTTGGTCTAATTGATTGCTATGCAATTTATCATTCTTCATCAAATAGACTTCTTGTCTTCCATCTTTCTCATCAACAATGCACAAGGACACCCAAGATTTCAATATTCACAATGCAGCAAATTGTAATGCATTAAAAGATAAGCCACACCAATCGACTCAAGAACAATGAAGAAACCACTGGTTTTATAAACAAGGAATCAGCAAACTAAACATTAATATATCAAAAACATGAATTTCTTGAAGGATAATTCTATTTGTGATTCAGAGAAAAAGGAACAACAATTTCAGCTCAATAATAGGGATGCAAGAGAACTCATATCACGCACCTTTAACATCGGTTTTCAAACTTGAAGTTAAGTTTGCCAATGTACAACATAATCTTGCTTCCGATACCAAAGAATTGACAATCAACTCAATGGATATCACCTCCTCACAAAACTCCGGATGCATGACCAATGAGGAGAAATGTTCATCAAGAACCAACCCAAAACACTTGGTAACATGTTCAAGTGAAGGAACCAACTCGGAAGCTTTTAACCCATGGGTAGCCGGAGCTTTAGGACCTTGACATGCTTGAGGGAACTTCTGATACTTCTCCAACCATTTCTTCAAGTAACGTAACAGACCCATAATCTCTGAACCATTTAACTGACCAATGCAAGCTGGGAATATCACATCATCAAGATTTGGCGATGCAAGCAGATAATGCAAGCACAATTCATTGACAGTGAACTGATCATAAGCCAACATGAGCAAAATCACATCATCCTTTGCCAAATTCGAATTCTTCTCACCAACAGTTTTGTCCACTGCCATTTTCATAGCTGATAATGCTTGGATTTCCCATTCTTTCCTTATAGCATTCATGGTAGTGTAGGCATCTTTAGGTGGAGACAGGAAAAACTTCAAAACCGAAAGTATATCAGAAACTTGAAGATCAGAAACATGCTTAACACAAAAACAAACCAAATCTGACCTCCTTTTCTCAATCGAATTACGGACCAAGTTCTTAGAACACGGACCATCAACTAGCCCACCAACAATCAGAGGTTCTAATATCTCCCAAATTTCAAACGCAAAACAAGCCTCTAACACCAAATCTACAACAGCCTGACCCATCACAAACCCTACATTTTGTACAAGTACCTTAGTATAACCCTCATCCTTGGGTTCAATCCCTATCGAAATCCCTAGTTTCTCGCTGTTCTTCTCCAGATACGAATTGAATATGCTGATGAATTCAACCCTACTGAAAGAGTTAGGGTTTTTAAGCTTGATTTTCAACTTCTTAAAGAACTTTTGCCCTAACTCTATGACCTCCGTATCTGTTTGAGAAATTTTCCATCCCTCAACGCGTTTAATGAATGAAGCATCGTTTGATTCTTCGGTTTGAGGTTTCAAGTTGAGCAGAACAGAGTCTGGATTAAGAACTATCGGGTATTGTGATTCTGAAGTTAGCTGGTCGGATGTAACCGAAGCTTTGGTAATTACTTCAAGCATAGACATCACGGAGTACAAATGAAGCAGGTAAAGACACAAACCTTGAAGCAGACGAAGGGTTTGAAGGACCGTGGAGCTGCGGCGGCGGTGGACAAGAATTTGAAGGCTGATGGAGGAGAAGAAGAAAGCCTAGCATACAATTGGGCTGGGCTGGGCTGGGCTTGAGCCTTATTACAAAAATATTTTAAAGAGTCAGGTGTTTCTTGAAGCCTCAAGCTGCCACAACCTGTCGGAAAATCCGATCCATCCGCCTCGATTGGAGACGGAGATTTCCTGCTACCCTTGGGGATGGGGAAGGACGGGAACCCCGTTTGTTTCAAACCGGGGATGGGATGGGATAGGGACGGGAATAGGTATCGCAATCCCTCTCGTCCCATACCGTATCTGTTATATATATATAGGGTTGGGTTCACGTGAGACCAAAGGTTTTTCGTGAGACCCGTAAGACCAATTTATGTCCATTGATCAACTTTATAAGTTAATGATCTAATGCTCCAAATTGTACGGTGGCAATTTTGTGATTATTGAGAAGTCTCGTGACGTATATGAATGTTTAGATTTTCAGATTTTAGATCTAATCCAATGGTTGAGAATTGGTCTTACGGGTCTCATGAAAAACCATAGGTCTCACATGATCCTAAGTATATATATATATATATATATATTATTTATTTCAACTAAATAGGTAATTCATAATGTCCTACTTCTTAACTAAGTAGAATCTAAAATTGTTATTTTTTTTGGATATTAGTATATAATATTTTGGATGTCAAGTAAAAATACAATTACTTGATATGTTTTGGATATTAGTATATAATATTACTCGCTATGTTTTGGATATTACATGATATGTTTTAGTATGTGTGAGTTAAGTCTTTTGTATTAAATTGAACTTTTTTTGGGTAAGGTATTAATTATTAATATGATGTTGTGATTTTTTTTGTATTAGATTAAATTTTTTTCGATTTTAAGTTTATTAAAAATATGTGGGATTTAAACATGTGTGATGTCTCAAATATTTGAATTAAAATATCTTACATAAACGGGAAAAAAAAATCCTCGTTTCTCATTGAGGATGGGGATGGGATCATATTTCCTGGCGAGGACTGGGACAAGGATGAGTGATCGGGGACGGTGATGGGGATTGAGGTCCTAGCGCCATTCCCATGAGGTCATGCTTAAGCCTTATTTCACTTCTGGTTAATAAGAGGTGGTGTTAAAGTCTGAAATCTGAAATAATAAGACTGTTTTTTTTTTTTTTGTAAACTGATAAACATCTGAATATTTATAATTGTCAATTTTACCATCGGCTGCAAGATTTTATTGTAACTGTTGATCCTAGATCTCTCAATAACACTAATAATCGAGTTAGGAATAACCAAATTATAGTGTTTTAATGAACAAAGTGATGAACACTCAAGAATAAATTATGAACATCAAAGAACAATCTTGAGTGTCAAAGGTTTCACTTTATTAATAGGAAAAACGTAAAAGCGACATTTAATACAATAGGCCTAATCACCTATTTATWBTAGTAARCTAATTAGAAGATAACTATCTAGTGAGACTATTTAGCTAATCTTCTATTAACAGATAATGTTTATCTAAACTATTGATAAGCTATAATATTAAGATAAACTTGAAATCCAGCTGTCGACTTGTCATCTCCAACTGTCTTTCAAGGGATGATGAATCAACCTTATCTTCATATCTTCATCATATGCCTCTAGTTGAATTGCTGAAAAAAACTCTAAGGGTGCGTTTGGTGCACAGACAGGACTGGACAGGACAGGACAGGACAGGACGGGACAGGACAGGACAGGACAGCTGTTCAGCGTTTGGTAAGACAGGACAGGACATGATATAACTGGTTAAAATGACCAATTTACCCCCAGTGAGCTGTTTAGTGTTTTTTCACTACGAAATGCATTCTTGTAACACTGGTCCTACTACCACTATAGCCCTAATAATTCAACAACAACAACAACAACAACATTCAACAATCATAATCAATGTAAACTCTTGAAATAAATCATAATACTTCATTAAAATCCCTAATAAGTACTTCAATTAATCAAGTTGTTGGCGAAATCGAGTACGAAACCACCATCAAAATATAATTCCTTAMTTGCATGAAATAAGAAGAAAGATATTTGAAGAGTTCCTTCAAATTCGTGATGCAGTTGTTGTAAGAAGCAGCGGCGGCGGCCATCGGAAGAAGCAGCGGCGGCGGCCATCGGGAGAAGCAACAGCGGCGGCGGCCATCGGAAGAAGCAGCGGCGGCGGCCATC